GTTTCGATTTCTCTTGATATATTAGGCTATCAGTATATACAGGAGATAAGATTAATAGTTTTAACTCAACCAAAATATTCTGTTGGATTAGTAAAGTGTATTTGGTATATAATCTGGGTGTGAAGCTTTATGGAAAAGGGAATAAAGAGATAGTCGTAATAGAAAATTTATTATTGATTAATTTATAATCTTAAAGAGCGATTTGAAGGTTTTTTTGGATTGATAGTGGCTAATAACAAGTAATTGGATTCTGAAATGTTTTATATATAATAATAATTAATTCGAATGATTTATATACTTTATCAATAAGATTATTGATCGGCTTCTCAATATCAGGGATGATTATACCTATAGGCACTATAGTGAGGTCGATATTGTTCTTTATTTGTCGAATAAGATTCTTAAATATAATAATATCGAATATTCTTTTTGAAAGGATTATTTGTAAGCGATTCTTGATTCAATCATTATTAGAATTAGCATATACAAGACAATCTTCTGTTTTCCTATTCAATATATCAAGACGAATTGCTTTAAAACCCGATCTGTATATAATATAAAAATTAAAACCAGCCAGGAATTCAGTTCATTTAACTTATCTTTGATTCAATATCTTTATCAATATAAAGTACTCTAGATTCTTATAATCAGTAATAATCTCGAATAGCTTTTGAGTTCTATATAGTTCAGGTTTTTATTTTTTTAAGAACTTAATAATAATTAGTAGTTCCTTATTATAAATCTTGTAGTTATATTCAATAATATTATGTTTTGAGAAGAAATATATAACTAGATATAGTCGGCCTTTATCATTATATTAAAAGAGTACTTTGCCTGTAGCCCAATCAAAAGCATTTATCTCGATAACTATATAATAGTAATAATCAAATATTACAAGGACTGAAGTAAAGATAAAGGTATGCTTTAGGTTTTCAAAGGTATTCTTTTAATTAATAGTTCAATTCTATATATTCTCTTTTTTCAATAAATGATTTAAAGATTCTATAATTTTAGAAAAGTTGTGAATAAAATATCAATAGAAGTTAGCGAACTCTAAAAAGCATTAAAGATCTTTTAGCTTAGTTAACAACTTTTATTCGAGGATAATTTTAATTTTATTAGAATTCATCTTAATATTATTAGAAGTAATAATTAAATCGAGATATTTCGTTCTTCTTATTTCGAACTTATATTTATTAATATTAATTTGTAATTTAATATTAATAAATCTCTAAACGATTTTATGAATTTGTTTTCAATAATCTATAATATTCTTAGAGTAAATCAAGATATCATCTAGATATGCTGTATAATTCTTATCCAGGAAATCAAAAAGAATATAATTAATATAGTTCTAAAACAAGATAGGAATATTGCAAAGGCCGAAAAGTATTATTAGGAATTCGAATAAGCCAAAATAAATTATAAAAACAGTTTTCTATTTATAACCTTTTGCAATTCATAATTTATTGAATATAGTGATGATATCTAATTTGATATAAACTTTAGTATAATATAAAGTATTAAGAGTTTCTTTAATTAATAATAATAAATAATAATTCTTAATAGTAATATTATTTAATTCATAATAGTTCTAACAAATTCGAATACCCTCTCCAGGCTTTATAGCTAAAAGAAGTGAGATAATCAATTAGAAACGGGATTTACAGATAAATTCTTTATTTAAATTATTATCAAGCTATTTGCAAACAACTTGAAGTTTAACTGAGGATATTGAGTGACCTTTATTATATAGAAACTCTTTATCTAATATAATCTCGATCTTATAATTTCAAGAATATTGTAATGAGAGCTTGTTAACAAAAAAGGATAAGAATCCAATAAACAGATTGTAAAGCTAGAGTGATAGCTTATTCTGAATCTTTATTATAGATGATATAGATTGATCAATCTTTTTTATAAACTTCTTGATATTGCTTTTTATAATATTGTGATATAGTTGAATAGAATTATTTGTTATTATACAATATAACTCGTAAGCTTTATCTAATTTATTCCAGATTACTTTTGTGATATAAGCTTTCTAATCTTTATAGAATTGAATAAAGCTATTAACTATAAGGAACTTTATATTGTTCATTTTCTATCGGATATTTTGTAAAGTGTTAATCGATTCCTTAGAGGGTTTTTGTAGTGATAGAGGGTTCAATAGGGATAAAACGTTTTGGTTTCGTGATAGTCTTTTGTATATCCTAAAGCCTACAATAATCTACACTAAGACCAATTTCAGAATTAGCCGATTTGATATCATCTTGGCATAGGTCTCTGTTTTTCTGTTGATTTGGTGAGTGTAATAGTAATTTGAGTCGAATAGTATTAGATTAATAGGATCTATATTATAAAGATTTCTATCAGTATTCCTCTTTATAATTAAAGTTGAAGAATTGTATTCCAAAATATCAATTAATCTTAAAATAAAAAGAAGGAAGTCTGGAGATTTTTGTTAATAACTTTTTTAGCAAAAGTATGATATAGGGTTGAGGTAGATTTCTTCGAAGTAGATTTCAAAATAGACTTCCTAATAAATATACATAGTATTAGATTAAGCGCTATATCTATTGAGATTGATATATCATTATAATCAGGGATAACAGTTGTAGTAAAGTTAACTAAACAGCAATATCTAGAGTAGTATGTGAATGTGAATTTAAGAATTATTATTGCCTAATTAATGATAGGGTTATGGCACTAAAGCTATAGAAGACCGAGGATTATAGGGTCTGTGTTAAAAAGATTAGTAATATAGAATAAACCAATTTCTTTATAATTATTAATCTATAAATCTAACAATACATATTGAGATAGAATATCAGAAGTCCTTTTATCTATAAATAATAGGTTATAGATAGTAGAGAGGGGATATATAGAGATATCAGCTTGGATATAAGGATTCTATTTATAAATCTATATCCCATAGCTCCACTATCTATTAAGCTAATAAATAGAATAATCATATTAGGTGTAAGGAAAATTTCCATTGAGATTTTAAAAGATTTGTTATTCATTATTCTAAGATATAAAGGATCTCTAGATATAACCGATCTCTTAATCCATAAAGACAAACTTTCTATAAAGAATCTCAATTTGTAATTATAAATCGAGATTAGTCTTTTAATATATTTAGCTGGGAAATTGAATTTCCGCTATTATTTGAATATACAAAGCCTTCAACAAATTTGCCCAGATCTTTGCTATTAGTGAGAATTGGAAAGGTATATCGAAATAATACTGTAATAATTGGAAAACGATTAGTAAATAGGAATATATTTTAGTAAATAGGGCTATAAGCATTATAATAGGGTTCAGAATTGTAATAGTAATTAATAACAGGAAAACAATGGATATTCGGAGCATGTTGGTTTGTGGCAAGAGGACGATTAGAGTATTATATAATTCCTGAATTAGTATTATATTTTATATTGTTATATTACTTTTCTTTATAATTGAATTTGATATGACTAAGCTTTTTGTAATAAAAATAAAGGCTAAGATCTAAATATTATTCTTTATTATAATATAATAAGAATCACTAGCCTTAACAAGCAGTATCTAATTATATAGAATCTCCAAAGAAATCAGGTGGTAGATATTACAATAATAATAATAGGTTTTTTTTCATTGAGTTTTTTCTGATTATTAAAGTTAATATCTTGATTTTTGTATTAATTATTAAAATAAATCTTCTCCTTTAAATTATTATAAATATCTTGCTATCAGATTATTTATATATTGATATTAGCGGTAGAAAGTTTATTAAAACAATTAATTAAAGTATCGATTAGTTTTTATAAAACTTTGAGTTTAAGATTAGCAATTTATTATTCAATAATCTTCTTGTATTTAATAACAAATTGTTTGAATTTGATAATAAAATTATCAAATAAAATCTTCTTCATTTTATATTTATTATAATTTATGGAAACTTTATATAAAAGATCTAGAATCTAGTATTACTTATTTAATTTATATTAGATATTTATTATAATATATTATTTAAAGGGCTAAAGATTAGAATTATATATATTGTCTATAATTATATCAAAATGTATCTGATTATTTGTATAAATAGAGCCAGAAAGTAGATTAGCAAGAAATATGATTTTCTGAAACTTTGATTTATTTTCATAATCTATAGTCAAGTAGTAATTAACTACACTATAAAAAATCATATATTAATCTTAATGCTTTACAATATCTTACTTATTACCATTAAACTTTTCGGAAACAGCAAGATACTTATAACAAAATAAAGCTTGTGAATTATTGTAAATAACAATCTTCAATATCTCAATTATATCTTTCAATTCAATAATCTTTAATTAAGCATCAATAGCTTAAGCCTAAATAGCAATAGCTTAAGCTTATAATAAGCCTGTAATCGATTCAATCAATTCAAATACAGTTTGAGCAATAACAAAGTATATAGTATTTGGATTATTGAATAGATCTATAAAAGAAAAGATATCAGCTTTAATAGAATTAAGAATATGATTTAAGAAAAGAAACTGTAAAGGTAAGCTAGATACAGATACTTCTGATGCAAATATTTGTTTATTTATCTTCAGCACTTTTTGAGATTCAAAATATCAATAACAGGGTATATAATGAATCAATAGTGAGTGTGATCGGTATAATCGAAATAAGATATTGATAGGGCTTTGGAAATAAAATAAGAAATAAAACTGTAATAGCTTATTTGAAGATAATATAAATTATCAAGATATAGATAAAGACTTATATTGTATTATAAGGATAGAAAAGCTATAGAAAAGTGAAGCTCTACTTATAGAAAGTAGGGTACACTAGTATGCTATATTGAGGCATGAAGGCAACTACAGATCATGTAGTTGGCGCCGTGACATATATGTAGATATACATATATATATATACACTCATCTATACACTCATTTATACACTCATCTATATACTCATCTATACACTCATCTATATACTCATCTATACACTTATCTATACACTCATTACCCCTCCCAATACCATATCTCCTTCTCCTTCTCCTTCTCCTTCTCCTTCTCCTTCTCCTTCTCCTTCTCCTTCTCCTTCTCCTTCTCCTTCTCCTTCTCCTTCTCCTTCTCCTTCTCCTTCTCCTTCTCCTTCTCCTTCTCCTTCTCCTTCTCCTTCTCCTTCTCCTTCTCCTCTTCCTCTTCCTCTTCCTCTTCATTAAACATATACTTAAAGAAAATCTATTCTTAAATATCCTATAAATTTTCTCCTCCGACTTATATGTACGAAATGTTTGGTTCGAGAGAGATACGGAAGACGTGGTTCCCACTATCAGTAGGCCCCTAAATGTCTATTTGTATTCAATCCAAAGAGCTAGCTAAGTGGGAGAATAGTAGGCCTTATATAGGCACTACTGAAAGAGCTAGTCTCTTTCGCATTCGCCTAATACCTTTGATACAGTAGCTATTGTATTGAAGTCATTCCTTTGAAGTGAATACCCTTGTTCACACACGAAAGATAAACAGTAAAAGACAAACGATAAAAAATTAAAGGAAAAATTCTGAATACTGAATACTCTCATCTCTATATCTCTATATCTCCTCCAAATATATCTCCTCTAAACACATCATATCCCCTCCAAACACCCACCTCACCTCACCTCTCTTCTTTCAATTCCAATTCCAACCCCACAAAACTACAACACCACAATAACACTACAATAACAATAATTACAACACCACAACACCATAATACAATCACAACACCACAACACAATACACAATACCTAGTACTCACAGTATAAACCAGCCAACATCAGATCCAATATTTAACATAACAAGAAATGATAGGATGTGATTGTGGTGTTTTGCTAGGTACCTACCTAGGTAGTTTGAGGTAAAGAGAAGGGGATGGGATGAGATTGAGAGAGGAGATGAGAGAGGAGATGAGAGAGGAGATGAGAGAGGAGATGAGAGAGGAGATGAGAGAGGAGATGAGAGAGGAGATGAGAGAGGAGATGAGAGAGGAGATGAGAGACGAGATGAGAGAGGAGATGAAGAATACATAATAATGTATAACTTTGACTTCAGAGTGGACCATACCTATGAATGACATCTTAGTTTTATAAAGTATGCAACAAATAAACTTTTATTCCTTCCTTCTTTCTCCTACCTACATATTCCTATCATGTTATAGCATATCATATATACATCCCCTCCACGGAATAGCCCTCCCATCACCCCCTCTCACAACCCCCCATCTAATTAAAAACCACCGTCTTATGACCATTTAACAAAACCCTTCTCTCTGTAACCCACTTCACCGCCGTCGCCCAAACATTACTCTCCACATTACTTCCCTCGACCGTCAACTCCTTGGGACTCAATCCATGACCCACCCTCACCACATTCTGCTCAATAATCGGGCCCTCATCCAAATCGCTCGTGACGAAATGTGCCGTGGCCCCAATAATCTTCACACCGCGATCATACGCCTGATGATATGGTTTCGCGCCCTTGAACGACGGCAGGAAAGAATGATGGATATTGATAATTTTCCCGCTCATCGCCGTGCAGAGCGTAGGACTCAAAACCTGCATGTATCTCGCCAGGACAATCAAATCGATATTGTGCTCCTTGACCAATTCCAAGATTTTGCCCTCCTGCTCGGCTTTGGTCGCAGCACTAACAGGGAGATGATGGAAGGGAATCTTGTAGGTATTGGCCAGGGGTTCGAAATCCGGATGATTGGATACGATGAGGGGGACTTCGATACCCAATTGTTGGATACTCTGACGGAAAAGTAAATCATTAAGACAATGACCGATTTTCGAAACCATGATGAGGACGCGAGGTTTGGTAGCCAGAGATGAGAGTTGGAAATCCATACTCATTTCCTGAGCGATGGTTTCGAAAGCACTCTTTAATTCCTCGAGACTCAGTTTCGTGGCTGAGCCGTCCGAGGTGGATGATGCAGGAGGACCAAAATGCACTCTCATGAAGAAACGGAGGGAAGTCGGATCTCCATATTGTTGCGAATCAACAATGTTGAGATTGTGCTGGGAGAGGAATCCCGTGACTGCGTGGACGATACCTGGACGATCGGGACAGGAAAGAGTCAGGATGTATTCATCTGCTTTAACCATCTTGACTGATTTCTTCGCGGAAGCCTTTGCGAAAGATGAACGTGGAGAGCTTGAGAAATTTCGAACAGAAGGTTGGGTTCGGAGTTGAGAGAGTTTGAAGATTGAGGCCAGATGGCGATGTTGTGGAGGATTGAAATTTTTTAAAGGCTCGGTTGTGGTGGAGGAAAGGGAGAAGACCCTTGCTTGGGAGATGACTTCGCGAGCGGAGCAAATGGATCGGATTGAGTGTACAGATTTAGTATTCAACAATAATGTCGACTTAGTAGACAACCTGCTCGCCATTAAAATACATTCAATCTTTCTCAAAGCCGATGACTCTTTTTGACCACTTTTATGCTCACTACCATTAGTGGGTCTTTGGGGAAGTTTGTAGTCATAGCGACACGTGATTCCTTTATCCGGCGATGATTCGGAGAAATCATTAAATAAAGCGAGTGAGAGTAAGCACGAGGCACGTTCGAGACACGATATCCATTGTTCTAGAGTTTGGGTTTGGGTTATTTGATGGAGAAACTTCACTTGTGGAGATGAGATGGGGTTAAACCGTTAAGTTACAGAATTGGTTTATGTAAGGTTTTGAGGATTGATCATTAATTGGTACTGGTGTTCAACATCTAATACTTATTAAATATGTACCTATGCGCATTGTAATCTTACTTTCTGAATATGCAAGCTTGCTTGGCATAAATCTATGTGTTATGAAGGACAAAACTCAATATGAATAATCACCTGCTTGACATCGTTTTCTATTTTCTGTTTCTGTACATCTATGGATGTTCTCTTCTGTTCAATTCCAGTACCATAATCATTACTCGTCGAGATCATGTCATATCGTGATATCGGCATCTTGTTGTGAGTTGATACTCATTCCGATGCTGACCGTAACATCTAATCATAGTCTTTCTACCGGTATTATCCAAACTCGCTCCTCTAAAAATCATGAAAACTGCGTTCAATATCTTCAATGCGTCATGCGCCCATTCCATAACTCTTTACTCTACTCCAAAAGAAAGCTTTATCGTTCCTCAATGTGAACTCTCCCCAGTCATCCGTTAGGCGGTTGTAATTCCAGAATCCATTCCAAGCCAATTTGTTATTTTTGACTGTTTTCCCTGCACTAGTCATCTTCAATTCCATTCTATAGAAATATTTTTCATGAACTCCTTCTGTTTCCACATATAACGTACCCTCTGATCCTCCAACTTTAGAAGAGGGTTCAGCATCTATATCTAGCGAAGGAGGATCATTGATAGAGGATAGGCGCCAACGTCCACGACGAGCGTCGCTCATGACAGAAGAAGGGAGATGAGAAGATTGATTTCTCCTGTGATATTCAAGAAGTTCTTTCGTCAAATGGTGAACGACATCGCTAGGTTCGGTGGTGGTCAAAAGAGAGATTAATGTGCCATCGCGATAGAAACGAAGGTAGCGGTAATAGGTAACAATATGGACTGGAGAATTCCAAGCTACCGCTGAAGGGGAGGCTTGCCCAGGTCGAATATAGTTCACGGTGCTTATATAGCAGCCATTGAAACGAATGCGGGGACGTAAGCGAAACATTTGTTTCCAGGATAAAGAATAAGTTGATTGGAGTAGGGAATGGGTGATGGTATCGTCACTGAGAGGCATTGATGGAACAGACTCTTCACCTGAGTCTTCCGAGGGCAAAAGTAATTGAGGCTCGACTTCAAGAAGCTCTCCTGTGACTTCTGTTTGCCATTGATAATGCATTGCTTCGAATCCGAATTCTGAGCCAAGACATATCCTTTTCCAGATTTGTTCTCCCGTCGCTACAAGATATGCCATGCGTTTGCATACTTGTGTGATTCGTGCAAGGTCAGCCACATCCCTAATTGCTACTTCTTTGAATATTTGTAATAGGATTTCATCAGGTACATCTGCAATTGGACATGGAGGAGCCGGTGTCCCTTCAATTTCGGGTGGCGATGGTTCAATTGATAAATCCGAAAAACTTTCGATCAATTGTTTAATAGTCTGTGGGGGCCCATCTGGTGAGTGGTGTGCGGTATTGGGCACTGTGGCAGATGCATTGGATGGATTTGTGTTTGTGGGTTTCGGTGGGAAGGCAGATGGTGGGAAATGTTTGTTCTTATATTTTCGATCAACTTGATCATCAAGCTTATGATAATCAGCAAGAGTCTTGTAGGTTTAATTTATTTGGAACCAAACTTACTCGAAATGCTTTGCGGTAGAGATCAAGACTGTCTCCTAAGCTACCTTGACCTTCCCTCTCTACCGCTTTTTCATAGTGTTCCAAAGCTGATTGGGGCTCACTATTGCCATTCTTCTTACCGTATGGATAGAATTCATCTTCTTCTCCTGCCCCAACGGCGCCACTTGGTCCGTCAAAGTGTACTGTTTGAGGCTCAACGATATCCTCATCTCCAGGTTTAGTATTCTCATGAACATGTTTGGTCCGTGGAGCTCTTTGTGGTACGTTAGATGGCCCAGCCGCTTGGGTTGGAGGATGTGCCTGGGTAACATTTGACCGTCTAGTCACTTCTTCCTGCCATTGCTTGCGGAATGTTTCCAATTCGGGATTCGAGTCTTCCATATTGTACAATTTAGAATGATCGGTGTATGATATTTTGGAGAGAGTGAGTGAGATAGATAGGTACTAGGGAAAGATCTTGCTATTCACCATATATTAGTATGAGATAAAGTAAATACGTAGTAGGTACCTAGTAATAATTACTCGGTCTGACGCGACGCCATCTATCGCCGCTGACATAATTACCACCCCTCTTATCGCCGCTGACATAATTACCACCCCTCTTATCGCCGCAAGATCCGTTATCGCTCCCAATTTTTTCTTTGATCAGTGGAGAACTCTCAGATCGAAGGCGGGAGGAATTAAGTTTTCGGTCTATTCAATTCCACCGTTCTACCAGTTGCTTATAATGAGAAAAATGAACTACTCATTAGGTATTCCATTTACATCATGATGATCAGTCGAATTTAAGCCATTATTCCTCTCTCTTTGAAGTTATACAAATACAACAACCATACATGATTCAACAACGTTAACGTGAATAATCGATTTTCTTCTTCAATCCTCTTAGAAAACTCTCACGTCGCAATTGCTCAAGATTACTCGTCAATTCGACGTCATTCCACTCAAACAAAATCTTTTATGTCCGGCCTTTGGGATAGTCGCCCTTCATCTGTGGGGGACCGAATCCCAACAACTTTTGAATCCAAACATTTAGGACATGACAGAATACACGGAGATGATCCAATACCTGGAGAATCAGGAACTGTAGCCATGACAGGCGATAACGATGATGTCGATATTGAGATCACGGCATCTCAAAAGATGATCTCGGCAATGTCTGGAAGTCTATTAACGTCATTATTAGGTACGCACGCCACCCAGCATTTGAAATCTATAACAAGTTTCAACTAACACTTCTACTGTAGTTACTCCTTTAGATGTTGTTAGAGTCCGTCTACAGTCACAACCTTCCCAGTCTCCTTTGACAGCGATTCGAAAAGCTGCTCTGGCCTCCCCTCAAACTTTCGGTACATTACCACCAAATCTAGGAATAACAGCATGTTGTCGAGAAGTTTTCTTCACCAGCGGCACAACGAGCGATGGTTGCATGGCTGCGCCCAGAATAAGCGCAATGGAGGGTGTTGGATGTGCCGTTGAAGAAACACAAAAAAAAACCTTCAATTCAACTTTCGACGGGATGAGAAAGATTGCGCGGAACGAAGGGGTCACAACTTTATGGCGAGGATTGTCACCTACTTTGCTCATGACAGTTCCTTCGAACATAATCTACTTTACGGGATACGACTGGTTACGATTCAACAACCAAAGTCCTATAAATCGAATGTTCAATGACAATTATGCCCCTCTTGCTGCTGGCGCATCCGCCAGGACTATAGCCGCTGCAGTTGTCAGCCCGATCGAAATGTTTAGAACGAGAATGCAAGCTAGTCAAGCAACTGGAGGAACACATTTTTCGGAAACTGTGAAGAGTGTCGGCGAAATGGTTTCACTTCACGGCTATACATCTTTGTGGCGAGGATTAACTTTAACACTTTGGAGGGATGTTCCATTTTCTGGAATTTACTGGTGGGGCTATGAATCCATAAGAGGGGCTTTGACAGATGCACGAGAGCGGGGTCGTGGGAGAACATATGATCGGAATACTTCTAGAGGTCAAATACGTACCAGATCACAAAGTCGAGAAAATCACTCGGCGACATTCCTGGATAGTTTTATTGCTGGGGCGTCATCTGGAGCAGTTGCTTCTATTTTGACTATGCCTTTCGATGTTGGAAAGACACGTCAACAAATCTTCCAGGAACCAGGGAAAACACCTGCTGGAGTTGAAAAGATTTTAGCACCTGAAGAACAATCCATGCCAAGGTTTCTTATGCACATCTTCAAAGAAGAAGGACTCGGAGGTTTATGGAAAGGATGGGTCGCCAGGACTCTCAAGGTTGCTCCAGCATGTGCAATTATGATCAGTTGTTATGAAGTAGGGAAGAGAGCATTCAGGAGTGTGAATGAGAAAGCGGAATTAAAGCGAGGAACCGAGTGATGAGATGAATTCTCCCCTCTTCTGGACGGATGGAAGGATGGTTTGGCGCATAAAAGGAACACGGAATTGTAATACCAAGCGTTTAGAAGCATAGCGATTTTGAGCAGGTATCCGGAATTTTGTATAGTTTTAGAGATCCTAGAAACTAAGATAACTTGAGCGAGATTAATATACCCACAGTTTGAAAACCGAAGAGCAAGAAGCAATATCAATTCATGATTTGAGTGTAAGAATGATTGAGAGAATAATGAGTGAAGACTACGACCCGATCCCGACCCGTGTTTACCCCAGACTTTCGTTTGGCTCTGAGAGCGCTGATACCGCGTACCCCAGTAAAGCAACTTTACGCGTCTCAAGGTGCTCTGACGCGAAACTTGCATCATAGATTTGGGAAATTCAAACTTTCTCAACATTCCAGATTCTATAGAGCTGACTTTGTCCTTCATATATTCCATTCAAACGAACCTTTATTTACTTCTTACCTCTATCAGAGTGTCTACACTACTCCTTTTTCGTCATCGACCGTTTTCTCCAATTCCCATCATGTCTCTCAAACGCAAAGCAACCACAAATCCTACCAACGACGCCAAAAAACCTAAAGCAAACGGATCAATTACTTCGTTCTTCGGACCACCAAAAACTGTCTCCTCAACTACCAAAGGAACCGGTAGCTCTACAGATTCTGCTGCACCGGCGCCAGCAGCATTCAAATTCAACAAGGAAAAATGGATGGCTACATTGACAGAAGAACAGAAAGATTTGTTGAAATTGGAGATTGAAACTCTACATGAGAGCTGGTTGGCGGTATTAAAAGATGAGATTGTAGGAAAAGAGTTTCTGGAATTAAAGAAGTTTTTGAAGAAGGAATTGGAGGGAAAGGATAAGATATTTCCACCGATGGAGGATGTATACTCTTGGTATTTACATTCTTGCCTTCATTCAATCGTTCAATGGCACTCAAGCAACAAACAGCTAATCAAAACAATGAATAGGTCAAGGCATACACCTTTTAACACTGTTAAAGCAGTAATAATCGGCCAAGATCCATACCATAACTTTAATCAAGCTCATGGTCTCTGTTTCTCCGTCCGCGCTCCTACACCGGCTCCACCTTCACTCAAGAACATTTTTAAGGCCCTCGCAAAAGATTATCCAGACTTTAAACCTCCTCCAAATAATGGTGGTCTCCTTACTCCCTGGGCAGATCGCGGAGTCCTTCTCATCAACACATGTCTTACAGTCCGAGCTCACCAAGCCAATTCCCATGCAAACCACGGCTGGGAAAGATTTACTCAAAAAGTTATCGATACAGTTGCTCTGAAGAGAAATAAAGGAGTGGTATTCTTGGCGTGGGGAAGTCCTGCAGGAAAAAGAGTTGCGAAAGTGGATAGAAAGAAACATTGTGTTTTGATGAGTGTGCATCCTAGTCCCTTGAGTGCGAGTAGGGGATGGTTTGATTGTGGGCATTTTAAGAAGACGAATGAGTGGTTAACTGAGCATCACGGGGAAGATGCAGTTATTGATTGGAGTTTGGACATTCCTGCTGCTAAAGCGGGCGTTTGAGGTGAGGAAACGTTTTGTGGGAGATGATCTTTAGAGGGAAAGTTGGCTAGCAATGTCAGGTTTCGATAAGCTCTCGTCTCCAAATTAGGATTTCACGCAAAGGAAGTTTGGATTTAAGCATTGGATACTTAACATTATTGCAATGGTTTCTATAATGATGGAGCTTCCTTGACTGTATGAATACAATCCGTCTTTTTATGAGGTTGATGATAGAGGTTCATTTTGTTCTTTGGCGGCGCAGGGTATTGAGAGAATCGGAGTTTATTTATTTGCTCATCTCAATATCCGGGTAAGTGAGGTCATACATATTTTACCGCATAACATAGAATACTACATTGATATGCCTCTCACCCCTTAGGGGACTTGTATGACTCCCTGTATGTGGTACGTTGTTCCACAAGATCTGACTACACCTATTTTACTTCAACGTTTTCTTGAGTCTCATCAAACTATTCTCCTCTCTTTTCAAGTGATAGCTCTAAATACGAACGTGGATCTATCCTCGAACCAGATTCACACATCATAATTCTCGTTTGTTATATATCCTGTGGAGAAATATTCACAGGTGAATGTCATCCTCTCTCCCGGATTTCCTAACTTCACACTTGCTTCTTCAAAAATACAACTCATATCTGAACATCTATAAATACCTATGGTAGAACTAAATGATATTGCTTTCAATATTGCAGCATTCATCAGTGGCCTCTTGTCCTCGAATTTGGCGGCAACAAATTCATTGGCAATACTGCTCTCATAGCAGCTCGATTGAATGTGTCACCCACGTTGATTAACATTGCGTTGCTCACGTCTGGTGTGGAATGGGAACAAGCAAGTGAAAATATTCATGTCGATGATAGTATTAGAAACCCGACAAGAATAGCTCATCGTAGCCATCGCAGCCATCTCTCAACATCAATCTTCACTTGCAATGGGCAATATCATCGGATCATCTCATCTATCTCGAATATCCTAGATGCTTTTTTCTGGGTCTGGTCTGACTTTTTCTCCAGCTTCTTTCTTTCACGTTTGATAAGAGCTCAAGGATTTATACTACCATTCTTGGCATTATTACTTTCCTCTTCTCAATATTTCTCCTTGTCTTGAATCACGGAATAGAATAGTGAGTGAGAGCAATACTTATCGCTACTTTTGGGATCTACTATCTCTATAACATAAGCAATATATAGGGGCATTATATCCACGCCAGAAGATAATTCAGAAAATTGCAGTGATACTTCTTTATATGAGAGGTAACCTTACTTTATCGAAAGCGCATTTATAAAGTCATATTTCCCATGCGTTCAGGTGGCACTAGATTACGAGCTATATTTATATCACAAACGTCCGATGACTATGCAAATCCCCCACCCACTCACCCCGAAAGTCTGCGGAAGTAGATAACGAAGAAATTGGTTCAAATAATCCTAGCTACTTTCAAGTTTTAACGCAGGATGTCTCATTATATACACCTCATCCTTGGTCTACCCGCGCTTTCCTCTCAGCATATATTCTATCTCATTATATTACATTATTAGCAACTTCGCTTCCTCTCTCTCCTAGGTTCTTGAAACATTCATTCTTCCCACTGTAATGACACTCCCTGAAAAACTCGTCGCGATTCGATCCAGAATGAAAAATAAGGAATTTTCCATCATAGCGGATACGAGTATTTCAAACATCTTTCTCTCCATATTCTACGCGGGACTTTCATTTCTCGCGGGTGATTTGGACGCTCGAAAAATAGCATAGGGGTTTTCGTTTTCGATCTGGCTTGTCTGAGGATCTGGTGCAATACTTTGCGGGGTTGTATTCGTGGGGCATAGATTATAGATGGGCTGGTCATTGGCGGGCTTGTATTTGGAGGTTTTGATCGCTGGATTGCTGATGGTGGATTGCTGATGGTGGAAATGGGATCTTCAATCTGATGTTCTGAATCTGTAGCTTTCGGTAGGTATGGAATGGAGATGGGGTGGTTCAAGCCCTATTACTATTTTGTTGATAGAGGATAGACCGTTGGCGTTAGATTACAGTGTGGGTACTCAGGAGGCTTTACTTCTACGTGAAGAAACGGTACAGTTCATTTTTACATTTTTTATGTCGCAGGGAAGGAAGTTGGATGCTGAAAGTTGTACCGTGTAGCGTTTATCTAGTGATGAATGACCAATACATGTTCACATATTCGACGAGGTGGCATAGAAAAGGAGAGCGGCTCGAGACGGTAGAATGTGAGCTGAAGCTAACAAGCTCGGTAATGTCGTCTTACCATATATTATTTTGGTAATGTGAATCCAGTGATATCCAGTCATCAGATCAGATAATAGAACATAACTGCGCTTGATGAAGTCTCTGGAGAGACTTTACATTTTCATATGGGATTGTACAAACTTGAAATATGACTCTCGTATTTCCAGAGGATATATGGAAAATCACTTCTTCTGAGTAGTCCTCGAATAATCAAACATGGATCAACCTGGAACTCACAATTCTTTAGCAGAACCTACAAACAACAATCTCGAGTCGAAGTATTCGAATCAGATGAAGTTTAGTGCAATGTAGGTAGTAGTTGATGGTGAGCCTCAAGATCCTTCCTTAATTCTAGATTCGTCGCGAAACTCTCTTCGTCTAACATATGGATGTGCAACAAGTAGCAATATCATTATGAAAATCTACCAAGTTCATCTATCTTGGTGCTACCATTAGTGTAGCATATATTAATCCTAATGAATAGCAGTCAGATTTGACAGCCAGAGCATTATTTGAGTATAAATTACTCTGTGCAGTGGTATTTTCTAATCCCGCAGCTGTATTCTTACTGGTGAGTTTTTCCTAGCAAATAGAATATTAAAGGTAGATATTTACTAACGCGAAAAGAAACTCTCGACAAATTCGGGATGTAACTGGTATGGACCTAGCGCAGATACATAGAGCTCATTTTTATCTTTGGGTCAATATCGCATTGTGGATTCTTGTGGAGTGTGTAGTTGTATGAGGTTGTTGGATAAGTGTTAGATCTCTTCTGCTTTTTGAACATAGATATCTTATCTTGAATGTAGGGGATTGGTATGGCTATTGCACTTAATTTACTCATCTCTGAGATTACTCTGATATCTATGCGTGATATTTGTCTTTGATACTCTTTTTTTCGTGTTGTTCTACAGACCAGATGACTTTGTACGACATTTACGATTCTTCGAAATGTTACCTTTATATTCTTAATTGCTACTCTCATCACATTCTGCATAGAATTTTCGTTCATCACAGCGCTCGCTGGCCAAGTCTTCAAATGTCTTCTTTCTCCATTCCAAACAATATTCATAGGTCATGGGTAAGTAAGTACTCCTTCTATATTCTTCACATCTTCCTAATCTAATATAACCAGAATCTTCCAATTCCGCGTCATCCTAGGCGGAATCCTCATGCCCCATACAATGTATCTCGAGCCCGGTCTCGTTTAAGCCCGAATGCGTGAATCTGATCATAAAAACGAAAAGTATCACGAAACTCGTATATCTTCCTCTCGCTTTGCAATTATAACCTATAGACCCACTCTCGGCAATTAAATCACGCATGTCCTATAACATTGCCGAATTATGCATTACTCTTTCGTGGTAGCGAATTTCATTAATTTAGCAGGTCTAATGGTCGCAGCAGCTAGTTTATCCAAAGATAGTGAAGATGCGGATTTACAAGTTATGTATCATTTTTTTGTCGAAACTATCGGATAAGTCGCGGGAAGGATCTTCACAGTTGGATTGTTGTTCAGCGGGTGGGTGCAGGTATCGGGGCGACGATGGCGGGACAACTTATTTGCGAAGGAGTGATGGATTGGCAGATGTCGCCGTTTCGGAGAAGATTGACTACGAGATGTATGGTGGTTGTTCTGGTGGTTGGGATTGTTGTGATTGGATAAGGGGGGTTGAAGGAGGCGTTGATGGTTTGTTTTGTTTTGTTGTGGTGAGTGTTGAGTTGGTTTTTGTTGCAGCGTCGTTGATTTGGTGTATGAGTTGTGAGAGGTTTATGAGAGTTGGGGATGGGGATGGATAGGGAACTGGGAGAGAGGATGCCGTTTTGCTTGGCAAATGGGGGTGTGGTTTTGGGGATGAGCTGGCTGCTTTGGTTTGAAGTTACTGGGATGAACGTGGCGCTTTTGACATTCTGGGGGATGGGGATGGGATGGGATGATTGATTGATTGATTGATTGATTGATTGAATTTACGTCCACCTTCAGTCTAAGACTATATAGGACGGCTAGGCCCAATAGGCCTAATAAATAACTTTTTGATTTACAATATTGATTATAATCTTATTAGAAAAGTGAAAACAAATACTGGGGAATAGTGCCTGCTTATTATATGCATTGTATATAATAAGAAAATTCTAACAATCAGAAATTGTGAGAAGATCAAGCCTCCCTCTTATTTCCTCAATTGCTTCTTCTTTATTCTTTTCTTCTTTTTCTTTTTCCATTATTATTTTTTCCTCTATTACTTCTTGTTCAAGAATCCTTGCTAGATGCTATATCCTTGTAGCGATTTTGGTGATATTGATAAATTTGATAGCTAATTCGATACCTATTTTGATATACAATAGGAATTGTATAGTGATTTTCGATAATAGTATATTCTGGAGTATCTCTTTTCTTTCTGTTTTGTATATAGAACAGCTAATCAGGAGGTGTTGTAGTGTTTCAATATTACTGTATATATATTTATTATTAGAGTGATTGAATCAATATAGATATGATTTAATATATCCATAACCTAATTTCAATTAAAAAATACATTAGTAGTATTTCGACTGGTTCCAATTGATAGCTTAATTTTCGATCCGATTTTCTATAGAAATAGTTTTGAATAGGTTAATGCTGATTAATTGGATTTGAGTTTATATTGATTAAAAGTTGAACTCCATTGATCGAAAGAGAATTCTTTGATTATTATTTCTAACAATTCAAAACTGGTTTTATTCGAATGGATTGTATTATAGTAATCTCTTTGCTAGCTTATCTGCTAGCTTGTTTCCTTTAACTAATATATGCTCTGATATCCAATTCAAGGATATTTCAGATCCTTTAGCTATAATGGCTTCGGCTGCTTTGATTACTCGAATTTGGTATGCTTGGCCTGGATAGTCTGAGGGTGTTTTCAATTGAAAAAGGCCTGCTTGATTATCTGAATAAACCTTAAACTTCTTTTTTACTATTAACGATTAAGCTAATATATTCAATGGCTTAGGTAACTCTATATAGCTCTCCATTATAAATTAGTTGATTGCTTTCAATATTAACTTATTCTTGATATGAAATCTGATTATTCAATTATATTAATACTATCCTTATACTAATATCTATTCCCTTTTAATGAAAAAGGTATCTATATAAATATAAATAGTATTTTAATCTTTGTGTTTAAGAATAATATTGTGAAGTATTACTGTATTTTCTTTTGAAACCTGATTAATATTAATTTTGAAAAGGATTTCCTTTTTCTATAAAAGAAAATGAAAATGAATAATCTTTTCAAAAAAGAATGAATCAAATTTTTTATCAATTGATTCCCTAATTCTATTGAGTTGAATTAGTTTGTATAGCTTTCTTTGAGGAGTATTGATTGCTTCTCGATTAGCGTATTGATATGCTAGAGTAGTTTTTTCGATATTGATTGGATATTTGGGTAAGAGTTTTGTTAATCGAAAAGTATATTGCTTGATATTTGAGTTTAATCGGATATTTGCTAATTTTAATCCCGATTCGATTTCTATTAAAAGAATTGGAATAGTTTTGAAAACTCCTAATATCTTTCAGAAAGCTAGATTTTAAAGAGCTTATATTTTATCCTTGAAGTAAACTTATTCTCTTTATCAAATTACTAATTTGTAATTAGCTATATTAGTTACACAAGCTATATATAACTATCAAAAAGCTTTAGGACTCAGGTCTTTTTCAATATTTACTAATCGAGTTATTCAATAAAAGACTTCTTTTGCTTATATAATTCGGATATTAATATATTGATTGAATTTGAGATTTGAATCAAATCATATACCTAACCATCTAATTAAAGATTGAGGTTTAATAATATCCGAATTGGATAATATAATTGGGAAGTTTTTGGTTAGCTTGGATATTGAGAAGTATATTAATTCTGTCTTTACTAAATCGAATTGAATTATACTTTTCGAATTGAATTTGTAGATTTGCTTTATAGCTTTTTCAAAAAATCTAATATTCTTTTTCTATAAAAATAAGTTTGTAATTAAAGCAATGTTATCAATATAGAAAAGAAATTTAATCGATTTTGAAAAGAATAATTCTCTAATATATATTAGGAAAAAGATTGGAGAAATTGGATTATCTTATAATATTCTAATCGAAATAGGCTTAAAGGATTCGATTTGATTATTGAAAGAAAGTTTTAGCTATTTTTGTTATAGAAAAGAGGCTATCCAGGAGATAAGATTCATTAATAGTTTCAATTTCTTATAAATATCTAGTAATCGATTTCTTGAAATATGATCGAAGGCTTTCTTTATATCTATAAATAGAATTAAGATCTTTTTATAAATTTACTTGTTTCTTTCGATTTCGGTGATTAAAAGAAAGACTGTATTAATTGCTGATTTCTTTTATCAGTCTCCAATTTGACTCTTATATAATAAATTAATAGTTTTTGTTAAATAATCTAATCTTTAAGCTAAAATCTTTTCGCTAATCTTTTCAAAATAGTTTAGAAATATAATGACTCTATATACTTTTGAAACTGAGTAATCGGATTTTGAAGGTTTCTTTAGAATCGCTTCAATAGCTTATTTTCAATATTGTGAATAGTATTCTAAATTGATTAGATTGCTGAATAGATTGAAAAAGATCCATAGAATTGCTTTATATACTTTTATAATAATTTTCTAAATGATTTTATCTAAGCTAGAGATTTTTTTTTGGATTTTGACTGAACAAGTATTATTTAATTCGATTTGTAAAAAACTAGGTTATTCTCATTTCTTGAATTGCTTGTATTCTTCTCATTATGGTTTTGGAATAATAAAAGGAGATAGAAATAAAGTTAATCTAAAAGCAAAACATTTTCCTTCAAAAAAGCTTTTTGTTGAAATGTCCGGTATCCTTTGGTTTTGATAATTCTTTGTATAAGCTATTGCTTTGAATATTATTTGTATATTCTCTTTTTCTAGGAATTCATTTTAATGATTCTTTTTAGCTGTTTTAATAGCCTGAAAATACTTATTTCTAGTAATTCGATATTCTTCTTTGAGGTTTGAGTTCTCCAGATCCAATTTAATTAATTGTTTTACTTTTCCTAGCTCTTTTCGAAGATCTATTAATTCGGGGGTTCATTATAGCTTTACTTTTCTAATTGATAAAGCTTTAGATATGGAATTTTCAGTAGCTTTTTGGATAATTCTTGTAAGTTTGCTTGCTGCTTGATCTAGATTAGAATAATTATTTTTTTCTTTTAAATTGTTTAGCGAATTCTTTTTAGATGAAATTGTTAATACCAGAATAAAGAGAATAGAGGAATATAATAATTCTGATTTCAATATCGATTCGAATTTATTCCAATTAGCTAGCTTTGTATTGTATCTAGCTAGCAATGTTGTATTAAGAGGGCTTGCTTCTTTTCCCTTTAGCTCGAATAATATTCCTATATAATCGGATTCTGTATCTGAAAGTATTTGTTAGTTTTGGATTTGAAAGGCGATTCCTTTTGAGGCTAATGTAAGATCAATAATATTTGGATTGAGGAGATTAATACAATAAAAGGTATTGAAACTAGGCTTATTAAGAAAAATAAGATTCTGATCTTCAAACTATTCGGTTAATTAATTAGTGTTTTTATTCTTTTCCAAAAAAGGATTCCATTATAGGTAATGAGAATTAAAGTTATTTAAAAAAATGATTTTTTATATAATTATTGAATTATATAAGCATCTTTCAATTATAAAGCCCTTTTCTTTAGTTTGATCAGTTTTATTGTAAATATTAACTATTTGGAAGGTTTTATTTTCATTTCAACAATCGAAGATCTGAATATCAGGATCTCTTGGAAAATCGGGAAAAAGATTGATTATGAATTGAAGGGTTTTTGAAATATATAATAATGTTTGTAATCAATATTTAGAATCGAATCTCAGAAGTGTTTATATGAAATTAGAGTATATAATCGATCTTGTATTTGAATAATCATTTCCATTTTTGATAATCCAAGATTTTTGAATAATAATAAGATCGATATTGAGTTCTATTACAAGCTATAGAATATTCTTTATAGCTTGTAAACTCTGATTAAGATTTATTTAAATGATTTGAATATTAATGTAATTCATTAATAAATATTGTTTGATTTTTGTTGAATAGTTTGATAGATTTTATATGTTTTTAAATTTGCTATATGGTTTCCTTAGCAGTTCGAGCATTTTGCTGCTAAGTGTTAACAGAACTTTCCTCTAATATTATATACCATATACAAATGTATTAATGTGATATGCTTATCTCTATATAAACTATAAGAAGGGTTTTTTCTACAATAAGTATCTTGATATTTAAACCCTTAACATTTTTGGTATTATATAGTTGGTTTCGATTTATAGAAGTTTTCTATTCTTGTATTACTTTCAGTAATATATAGTCGCTTTCGAATAACTAATTCTACTTCTGATTTTGTAGTAAAAGTAATAACTATAGTTCCTTCTCATTAATAAGCTCTTTTGGAAGCTAGTATAAGCTAGAAGGGGGTTTCGATTGGTTTGAAATCTGGATTAAAGGTTTTGATTTCCTTTAAAATAAAATCCATTCCTTTTGGTTCTGAGAATTCTCTTATTAGAATTTTGTGGATAATAACTTTATGCCATTCTTGATTCTTTTGAATCCTTTCGAATTTAATAATATTATTCTAAATAGTTTTTTTTTCTAAAAGGAATTATAATATAAAGGGATTGTTTACTATAATAATAATATTGTTATTAAAGAATAAAGTAGTTGTTATAATAATTGGCTCTTTAATTCCACTCTTTTGAAAGACTTCGTTTATTTTATTTCGAATAATTAAGAAGGAAAAGGAAGTAGAGTTTGAGATTTCTGGTTTAATTAGGATTAGATATCTTTGAGTGATTTCAATCTTTTTGTTTATTAAAATAGGCTTAATAGCTTTTTCTTTACTGATTAGATTTCATTCTTTTTCTTTTATTATAATTATAAAAGTTGATTTAATTAATATTATAGTAATTGGGATTGGATTTTTGACTAGTATTTTAGCTTGGGATTCGATTTTCCATATAGCTGATTTAAGGTGAGTGATTTGAGATGTGATAATATTGAAGATTATAGTGAGCTTTCCTTTTTCGATATATTTTCTAAAAATCTTTAGGAGATCTAATAGCTTCGATTATTTATTATATAATTGAGAAAAAGTTGAGACTAGAATTATAAAATCTCTTGCTTTTAGAATTGCTTCCTTTAATATAATTACTTTGTTTTGTATTCTAGATTGTTTGTTCTGATTATTAAAAGATTTTGTAAGGCACCGTTTCTTATTCTAATTGAATATATAAATAGTATTAATTGTATTTTGAGTAATGAAGGGATTATTAAATAGATTGAACTCTTTAACTCTTTTTTTAGAACTGGTTGACTGATTGGTTGGTAGAATAGAGCTAGAGATTTCGAATTGAGGGTTTTCAAAAGGCAGAGGAAGACTTGAAGGTATTAGAATATCTAGAATAATAATAGAATAAGTGTTTGGTATAATAAAGGCTTTAGAAGAAGCCTTCATTATAGCTATATCCCTAAGTGTTGATGGATTATTGAGACAATTTATATTGAGGATTTTATTCTTATTTTGATAATTTGAGGTGAAAATTTTACGCGAATTTTTGTGTATGTTTTGTGTTTGGAATGCCGACGATAGTATTACAACAACTATTAGTTAGAATCACTTGGAGGTAATTGTAATCAATTTGGTTTAATAACTATAATCTAAATCGATCGCGAAAGGGTTGTATTTCGAAGAAAAAGTTTCCTTCGAAATTTGTTGTGTGTGGATGGGATGATTCGATGGGAGGTTAAAGGTTAAGAGTAGAATGCTTAGAGAAAAAGAGGATCTTACAATGGAGAATCGAAGAAATGAAACTCATGAACGGGAATTGGATTTGAGATGAGCAGAGGAGAATCATTGTATTGATACGCGGCGAGGGCAATGATTTATGTTGATTTGTGATGGCAATTCAGAACCACTTTGAATATATAATTTGGTTCCAAGGGAAACATGTTTTCTGAAAAGTTGCTTTGCAAGTCCGTCGACACTTCAAGTAATTGTGAAAAGGGATATCATTAGTGAACTCGAAGCTATTTCAGAGAGTTTTTATGCTTGCTCTTCTTCTTCAAGCCTTGAATTCTCCAAGAATATTACACACAGGTGCGGTATGTGTTTGATAAATATGCTTATCGAAAATTTGAATATAGTCCCGAGAATTCTTATATACTCTTATTCCTCAAACTGTTTATTTTACGGTTCATAGAACCTTAGAATGTGATAAAGGGGGGTCTGTAGGATAGACAGGTAGTCATTTCAAACAGTTTTCGTGTAACAAGTGTTGATCAAATGTTTCATTATTTAATATGTTCATTGCATAAGTCATAACAGCCGCCCGCGTGTACATCCGAGTACCGTAAAATTTCACAAAGCCAATCCCAAGGTAACATCATTCCCGCATCCGGCATTTCTGCACGGCGATCGCGTTAAACACTGAACACAAAACTTAACTACATACATGATATTTGCCGCTACGCGCATACCAATTCTTCTTCAAGGATACTTCAATTTGCCTCTTATCAACCCCTTCCTAAATATCCTTCACCTGCACATAGTCATGATTTCTGACAATCAAATCATCTTCCCACCACATCAACGTACAGCCCACCAATTTTTTCAGTTCTGTCTTTTCTTTTGGCAGTCGCTCGCCTGTCTCTGGGGATAGCGCTGGTCTGCATGTGATTTCCCACTCCCAGGCTGTGAAGTCTTTGTGTCCATGTACGGAGGCAGTGGTTATTGTGAGGTCGTAGAAGTCGGAGAAGGTGTGGGAATAGTGTGACGCGACTTCCGAGAGACCCATGAGTTGATTGTTGGGTGTGCCTAAGGGGAGAGGTATTTTAGTGAGGTTCGAAAGATAGGGAATGGGAAAACAGACTGAAATCTGAGTAGACAAAGTTGGTCGGATGGTAGTATTTCATGATGGCTTCGGTGTCTCCTTTCTTGTATGCTTTGATGTATGCATCCATGCGTTTCATGATATGGTCATGATCGCCATGCTTCTTGTGCTGTACGTGGAGGGGGTGCTTGTTGTGAGGGGACATTTTTCTACTTCGTTTGAGTTGAGAGTCACTATCGTGAGAGCACCCAAGAAGTCTTGAATCTGTTGCCGAAGGAGTGAGAAAAAGAGTGAAATGTACAAAAGTGGCTGAACCGATTCAAAAAAATAGATCCAATACGGATGGGTTCACGATTTTTCACCTTGGTTTCGATCAATTGAGATTTGCGAAGAAGGGGTATTAATGCTAAGTTCCTGGGGCTTACTCGATTGCTGATTGCGAAAGAGGGGTGTTAATTCCATGACCGTCCCACCTCTATCCCTACCCATTGAGTATCTTTCGGAACTGAGGCTTTTCATCCGTATCCCACCTTTATACCCCGCTTTTCTTGTTTCCTTCAATTCTTCGTTCATTCTGATTACAGTTGATTGGAAAGTTGACGATGGCGATCAGACGAGCATAGCCAAGCGTAGGTGATAACACAAATCAGATTCAGAGTTTTCAAATGCAGTACAACTCCGTTTAATCCTTGCGATTGATAATCCAGCTGAACAACAATTTTGGTGGGGTTGAGGCAATTATAATCTGCAATGATAACATCTCATATGTGATCATAATTGGACACTGGAAGATGGTCGTGTTAGGCGACGCATCCGATCGGCTGGCCAAGCGTATTGTTCCAAGATTCATGCTTAAATCGATCTGTATCACCTTCTTCATTCAGTATATCCTCCAGAGGCTGAGTGAAATCTGTGATTGACGTGGGGCAAAGTTTATGACCCTTGCGATTTTCGACAGTGCTACTGCGGGGCAAATAAGAGGAGAGGGGTTGAAACGCAGTATGTAAATTCACCCCCCTCACAACTTTAAAAAATCGAGTGAAATACAAACACGTCTATTTCGATTCTCTTTCCACGCTAACAATCCGTCATGACAGTTCTGAAGATAGATACTCCTCTCGATGAGTTGACCGCTCAAAGCGCCGAGAAAGAAGCGATTGCCACGAGTCAACCCTTCACAAAGGAGGAGGGCGTAGATGGACCACTTCTCTTAATGTTGCTGATGGGAAACAACAACAACAATGCATCGGCCAGGGCTCAAGCCGCTTCAGGGAATCCCGTTTCTGACACCTTGAGCCCCGACTACTATGCTCTCGAGTTGAGCTCTACTGTAAATGACGATGAAGGAGACATTGACAACGATTCATCCACTATCGATGGCGAGGATGGACCACTTCTATTCGCACTGTTGTTAAATAATCAAAACAACAATAACGTCCACCCTAACCAGAATCCCAATCTAAAAGAGAACAACGAAATTTCCGATACTTTGGATCCTAGAAGTGTTGCTCTTGAGTTAAAGTTTCCAGTGAACAATGATGCAGATATCAATGATGTATCCGTCGAAACTAGTGGTGAAGATGGACCACTTCTATTCGCACTGTTGTTAAATAATCAAAACAACAATAACAACCCTAACCAGAATCCCGACCCAAAAGAGAACAACGCAATTTCCGATACTTTGAATCCTAGAGGTGTTGCTCTTGAGCTAAGACCTCCTGTGGGCAACAATACAGATATCAATGATGCATCCATCGAGACCAGTGGTGAAGACGGTTCACTCTTATCTGCATCGAACAACACTGATCAATTCGTCAGTGAGGGTGGTGATGGTCCCCTCCTTTTAACGATGCTTCTTGCAAATGAGAACCAGAACAACGGCAACAAGGCCACAGAAGCTATGAATAAAGCGATTGCCGATACCTTGGACCCCAGTGATACTATCACCGAAGCTATCTCCAACGTTTTGGAGTCCAAAACCCGCTTATTAGAGCTGCATCCCTCTAAAGATACTATTACAGAATCTATTCCCGATGTTTTAGAGATGAAGACTCAACTGCTAGAGTTACACTCGCCTGGAAATGACGAGGCCAATAGCATCCCCGTCATGTTAAAGGTCAACTCTCAAGCTCAAAAAGCTCAGATACTGGCGATGCTTCAAGGACGTTCAATTCCAGTAGCCATCGCTTCGAATGGTACCAAAGGGAGTTTTGCAAATGGAACACTTGACAGAGCGCAAGTCACCGCTGCCAATTTACAATCCACGCCCCACGTTGCTCTTAACGAGGCCAAGAATGGTAATTTGAGCGACGAGCAACTGCAGTTTTGGAGAGAAAATGGATATCTCGTCATTCCAGATACACTATCAGAAAGCCAAAAAAATCATTTGCTTAAGACCGTGCATGAAGCAGCGCAAGTACTTGCTGGCGGTGGCGATAGAGTACAAAAACATGCCTATTTCGCGGGACAAAAATCCTACGTGAGTCCTGTGGGCCGAGCACTCGCTACATTGAGTGAACGTAAGTTACACATACCCTAGTCATTGCCACATAATACTAACCTTGAATTCTCCATCAAGACGGCTTCAATCCCGACGTCGAACCCCTAAAACGTATCCAACGTATCGGCTGCGGAATCCACCGCGTCATGCCCCCATTCCGAAAAGCCATCCTCAGTCCCTTCCACTCCACACTCGCCAGATCCCTCGGCTACAAAGACCCTTGCATATACCAAAGTTTGATTATCGTGAAAGCCGCCGAGGTCGGCGCGCGCGTGATTCCTCATCAAGATGGCTGTTCGGGTTTCACAAACCCATCGAGTTGCACGACTTTCTGGTATGCGCTTGAAGATTGCTCGACGGAGAATGGGTGTTTGGCGGTCGCGCCGGGTAGTCATCGTGTAGAGCCGATTACAAGGCGTTGTATCACTAATGGAAATGGACAGCCGGTATTTACTGATTTGGAAAAGCCGGTTTATGCGGATATTGAGGGGGTAGATGATTCGACTCTACCAAAGAAGAATGAAAAGGGGGAGTTTGAATATAAGAAGTTGGAGGTGAAAGCAGGGACCTTGATATTGATGCATGGTAATTTGATGCATAAGAGCGAGGCGAATCGAAGTAGTAAGAGTCGCGTTGCGTTTAACTTTGGAGTTGTGGAGGGTGAACACGGGTGGCTAGAAGACAATTATCTTCAGCCTTATGAAGGAACGACAGAGTTTGAGAAGTTGTAAAGCAATTACGAAATTTGAATCTTATTTTCGTCTTTTGTATAAACGCTATTAGCAAACAAAGAGTTTGAATCAGATCAGGAAAATCGGTTCACTAACTTTAGTAAAAAAATTAAAAAACGCGTAAAGCTTTCAAGGTGTTTCAAGCAGGTGTGGGTGAATATATAAAGTGTAAAATTTATACATGAATTGCAATAACGCTATCAAGAACTATGTGGATATATATACAAAGAAACAGTTTCTCCTCCTTCCTCCTCTATTCTTCCAATCGGAACGCTGGAATATTTACAATACTCTATTCGTCCAGCTCATATCCGAATGGGCAGGTATCACCATCATTATCACCAGATGAAGAGCTAGCAGCTGCTGAGGAAGCAGATGTAATAGCCCCAGAAACAGCTGATGCGGATGCAGCGGCGCTTGAGACTGCTGGAGCTGAAGCAACACTGCTTCCCGAAGAAGCTGAAGATGAAGTGGTGGGGGAGGCAGTAGAGGAGATAGTCTTTCCAGCCAATGCCAAGATCTTCTGCGCGGCTTGCTCGGCAGCAACCATGATGATAGCTTGAGTATTACCAGTTGGCATATCAGGGTGCATAGATGCATCCACGACGAACAAATTATCGGTTCCCCAGACTTGGGTGTTGGTATCGACAACTGAAGTTCCATCGTTGGTCTCACCCATAATAGCAGTACCGGTGAAATGGTCACCGGTGACGTAAGTACCGGCGGAGACCAAAGAAGCACCGGTTATGGTACTATCAGATGGTGTAAGCATGGTGCTGTTCTTGGCGGCATTGAGAAAGTAGTCAATAATGGTTTCGATGGCAGATTTATCGTCGGCGGTGTTCATCCATGGGTTAGTAGTGAATTCTGTGGCACCGGAACTGGTGATACCAAGAACACCAGTGGATGTCAAACCATGGGTAAGGTAGAGCTTGATGCGGATTTGACCACTAGCGGGGGAGTTACAGGTTCCTTGGATGTACTTGGTTCCGCTGGTGGTGTTAACAGAAGTCCAGAAGTTCAATCTTTGACCAGATTGAACAAGTGGTCCGGTTTGTTGGGCGAAGAGATCGATGTTGGCAGTACTTGGAGAGGTGAAATCAGTTGACGCCAACGAGGTGGAGTTGCTAGCCATTGAACCGGTAACGTTGAAAGTGAGGGTGAAGATTGGGTGGTCCTTGAGGTTCTTTCCAACTGGAAGGTTAATCCAGTCAGATTCAACTGGGAGAGCAACACAGCTGCTTCCGTTCTTCACAGTGGTGATTTGATCGGTTGGACCAATTCCACTGTTCATCAAGATACGAGGAGTAGACATGGCTCCAGCAGCGAGGATAAGTTTTACCGCCTGCATTGAGATTGATGATTTGACGAACACCAGTGTTAGAGTTTTCAACTTCAACACCAGAGAATGTGGTACTGTTGGTGGTGCTTCGGATACCTCTTACGACCTTAGTATTGAATTGGGCTTTGAAGTTGCTCATGGCAGTAGCGAGAGGGTAGTAAGACTTGACTGGACCAGCACGGAGACCATCTTGGATATCCCATGGTGGATGAGAGTAAGCTAGAGTCTTCGAGTTTGGTGATTCGATAGCATCAACTTCGGACCAACCAAGGTTACCCAAGAATGAAGAGAGAACGTTCCATACGCTTTGATCGTATCTTTGCGAGTTTGAGGTAGGGTTGGTAGTGCCGGGGTTACGCTCATAGAGTCTGTCGGCGGATGCACTGACATCGGTCCATTTCCATCCAGTTGGCCATTTGTCATCGAAATCAGCTTCTTGTGGACGGACAAACATCAAGGCATTGACCATAGTACCACCTCCAAGAATACATCCAGCCATTGAAGCAGTGTCTGTACAGTATTCGTCGGAGACAGAAGCGGATGTGAGATAGTATGCCATGGAAGGAACATCATATTGGGTGACGGTGTCGTTCCATGAAACAGTGGATCTACCACCAGTAGCATAGGTGGAAACGTTTCCTCTTTCTAACATCAAGACAGATGCACCACTCTCGGCAAGACGCTCTGCAACGATGATACCAGCTGGACCTGCACCTGCGATGATATAATCGTAAGTTGAGTTAGAAGTTGATACGGTAGTGTTTGAGCAAGTGGTAGTAGTGGTAGATGCGGTTGTGTTGCTGGCAGTGGCAGCGCTGGCCAAAGCAGCCCATGTGGCGTAGTTATCGTTCGCAGCACTGGCAGTTTGAATGCCGAAGTCACCATACCCATTACCGTGATAACTGAAAGTCGCATCGGTAGCAGAGGCAGCATTTGTGACTGTGCCGTTACCATAAGCCCATCCAACAACGACCTGAGTAGCACCAGCCGCCAAAGTATAAGTGTTTCCAATACAAGCTTGGCAAAGGAAAGTATATGACATGTGGGTTGAGTTGACAAAGGTACCCTTTGCAATTGGCAACAATTGTGCCGTGGCATTTGCGTAGGCACCTGGAGATGTGTATCCACTGGTCTCACGCAACGATGCAATGACATCAGTTCCACTGGGCCAAGCAACAATCAACATACTGCCAACCATACTACCAGTTAATGAAACACCTCCATATCCTGAACCAGCTGTACTTGGGATGACCTAATCAATGTTAGCATACTATACAGTCACCATGTAATGAACAGGTTCTTACAATTTGCCCGATGAAGTCAGATGTGGCATTGGCCTCCATGACCATACCGAATCGGAATCCTGTTGTGTCTGTTGCACCCTCGAATGTGATCCCAGTGTTGGCATCCACATAAGAGACAGCTGTTTGAGCAAGAGCTCTGGCAGCAAAGCCAGAGTGAGGAAAGAAGTACGCATTTTGAAATTTCGAGATGTGTTTCTTGCGATTGTTTAATTTGAATGAATGTGTATATGAAGTTGTTGATTTCGGAAAATGGTCACCAGACCTGTCAATGAGAGTTTAAGAAAAGAATGAATTGAAAAAGAATGTATACCGTCAAGGCAACAACACAAAGGAAGGAACGAGAGAAGGAACGGAAGAGAAAGAAACGATTCTTGCGATACAGAGAGAAAAGTCAAATTTTGCGCAGATGCAAACCTTTTTGTACTTTGAAAAGTTTGAAATACTCCTATCCTTGTTGATCCATTGTCATTAACCCACTGTCTATGGCCCAAAAAGCTTCAGTCTTCGAATTCATCTATTCGAGCCTCGACTGTGTCCACTGTCCCGGTAAAGTGTGGTATATGCTTGATTGAGGTTCCTAATCCCTTCTCTCTCATTTGTTTCGTTTTATATCATGTATCTACTTCATTCAAAAGTGGATCGATCAATAGAGGGGAAGGTACGCCATGAGGCTGTCATTAGATGATTTATATTGAGGGGTAAATTGGTAAATTGGATAGTCGTCATCTAGACACTTCGCTATGGAAAGCCCCTGTTCGCACGTTTCAAAAGCTTTCTTTCGCCTATTTTGACGTTTCAGGATCTTGCCGGTTCAGGGAGTTCTGGGGGATATTGATCCACTCGGATTCCCATATTTGGCCTATAGTTTAAACGTTCATCCGAGTATGTTCTAGAAACGGCAAAATCATGCTGGGATGAAGTTCCTGCACGTAAAAGCCCGGTAGATGTGATGGTTTCATGACAGAAAAAATCGAAAAAAATCAAGAACACAGCAATACAGTAATTCAAGCTGTCAAGACCAACCAAGCCACACTTTTCATCATCGAATTCATGCACAGTGGCTGTGGACTCTCTTTATGATATTTTAACCATATTAAGCATCTAGCCCAGTTTTTCACATGATTCGGGCCTATCTTGGAAATTAAAGGGAAAGAAGAAAAAGGAATTTGCTTTCATGAGGATTCGATGGATCAATAATGTTATTATTGGGTGTGGTAAACCATTTTTTATCATTCGTTGACCACACGCAAATAATGTGATAAGACCCCCCATACTAATAGAAGCGTTTCCAACGTTCCATCTGAACTTTCAACAGGATCTGGTGGATAAGAAGCTGAAATGCGTATGGAGTCCTCGGTATATAAAATTAACTTCTGCCAGGAACTGTCCAATTGATAAGATTGAGTGTGCAAGGCTTCGGATAATCGGAAAATTCTTTATCCACTATTGTTTCCTGTACAAAACATCTCCTTCTGCTCTGAGTTATCGAACAGGGAGAGAGATTTGAAGACCTTGCCCTTTTCAAAAGAGATCTAGAGTATCGTCAATGAAGCACAACAAGGAGGTGCAAAGAAGGGATGAAATCCATAGGTCGGATGCTCATGCTGTACCAGTGGAATTTTACTTTATCGGCTCCATATCGACTCCACTTGCAAGTATTCTTCGGTCGATGTCAGTCAATATTTTGACGATTGATCTGAGCGTTGAAAACCCGAAACTACGAAGTATTGAAAGCCTTGATCGTCATTGTCATTACCGGACTTTGTATCTTGGGGTCATGACTCGCATGTTTCCCAGTTACTTTCGTAGATATAGATTGTGCTGATTCCACCTGTCTTTCCTCATGGTATCGAAATTGTGCAGGATGAAACAAAAATTGTATTTGAAACCAGCTGGAGACCATCCAGTTGACCTCGGACTATGTACCTAGGTAGGTAATATCAATTCGAGGTCCAGCCACATTGTGGCTCAATCTTGCCATCACATGACCTGAAATACTGGGACAGTTTTCCATCTTGAAGAATTTCTTAATTTGTTGGTCAAATCGGACAACATTTGTCAGCCCAGCTGATTATGTCCAACCCTCTAATCCTGTATCTCATTTTCTACACATCTACGGGTCCTTCACTTTGTTGTACGTGACTTTGTGGATATACTACAGCAATTAGAATGAACACAAACGAGAAACGAAACCGCCCACGCCAATGTTCTTCTTATTCTTGTATCACCACAACATCCTTTGCGTGGTTTTGGGAGGTACTTATGAATGAGATAAGATTTGCTCATCCGGTGTGTTAATGAAGCGCTCAATCTAATAAAGATGTAACAACCCAGTACACACGCTCATCCACACGCTCATCACCCACGCGCGGCACAATCACGTTAAGCGCCACAAACATGCAGGCAATTTATATGATTGAGGTCCTAACTGCAATATATGATGATGGTGGGATACAAAGGCCATTTCCCATTTCCCAGCGCCTCGTACATACTTGAAACACCCAACACCGAGTGGTGAAAGACTTGAAGGTCAACGTGGGATCGTTATGAATAGCTTTGTCTAATGCTGAAAGCCTGGAATTGCCGCTTGCAAGTGGTGTGAAGATTCAGTATCTATAGTTGTTGATTTGATTCCGTCATTATGGGAGCGGTAAAGCTTCGCATCCTTCAGCTCCAATTTCTCACTCCGTATTGATCGATTTAGTTGGCATCATAAGGTAAGGAGACGCGGCTATCTTTCTTGGCAGGTCTTGTGAGTCCCCTTTAGCTTCTTCAATGCTGTTTATTTAAATTCTGCATGACTTAAATATCCTCCATATCGTTCTTCCTCCTTAATTGCAAAAGAAAACTAGGAAACCAATTGACTGAAGTGGTCATCATATCCCCTTCCTTTGGCCAAATTCTTTTTAGCCATGCGTTTTCAGGGATCTATTGTACAGTACTAGGGCACAGCTGTTTACCGAACACCAAATTTATTTTATTTTATTTATTTATATTAATTAACATCTGTTTTGGACCTCCCGAAGGATATTTAGATATGCCAGGATAAAGAGTTACAAATACAGAAGAGCGCTGATGTGTATGCTAGTAAAACCTCAGAGGGGAAATCCAGTTTCTCTTGTATTATCTGAATCTGATAGTTTAATATTAATGAGAGGAGCTGTTCGTTTCTTTATGATTACAATCACTGAGTTTGGAGTGATTGCTTTAGAGATTGATTTGAAGAAAAGAATGGTAGGTTTAATGAGTGAATCTGGTTTTGTGTTTCCCTTTATAATCAATAATCAGGGGAGTGTAGTTAAATGCTATTTGAATAATTAGGTATTAGTATTTGTATATACTTTGATAGAGCGAATAGAGCTAGCCTTTTAGAATCTAAAAGCTTTTTCCTATTAGGCAAGCTAATCTTCTTTCTATTATATAATATCCTTCCTCCTTTTCTTCCTTTTTTTCTTTCTTTTATTGTAATAGTATTGTTGTGTAAGAAGATATAAAGCTCAGTTGCTCTGATTATTGTTTGTAGAAATAAGGAGTGAACTTAATGGGGGAATGAGATGCCTTACTTTTGCGAAAAAGCTTTTTATTTCTATTCTGATTGAGTAAAAGAAAGTAAATCGTATAGTGAAAATCAGATATCCAGAAAAGTATAAATCTGTTGAAATATAAAGAGTATATTATAAGCACCGATAAGTATTCTTTTAAAATCTTCTTTTTTTTAACTACTGTTAATCCAGTCTTCTATTTAATTAGGTTAATTCAAAGTATTTCCTTGCTTACTGTTTATATATATTATTCAATATATAATACTCTACATAATCTGTATTTTCCTTTATATCAAAATCTTCTAAAAGGTATCTAATAAATAGATTACTTGCTATTCTTCTGTATATTCGGTTTGACAATTTGTTCTAAGATATATATATCATGATTGCTTGTTCGCTTGCTTGTAGCCGCTATATACATTTTCATATACTTCACAGAGCTATTTCGTTTGTCTGTCTCGAGGCATTTCGTTGTTGTGCGAGTCCTATTGGGCTTTAAGTATTCTCACTCCATCCGATCAAAATATACAACTCCTTTTTTTTTAGGTAGTAATACCCTCAGGTTTGTAGCCGGGCACCGCGTACAGATAGGACTTCGTCTTCGCCGACCTGCCGACACACCAAAATCACACTAAAACTCATATAAAATATCTATATATTTTTTAATAATAATGTAGATTTTATTCAATAAATTTATATAATCTATTTGATTTCATTTGAAATTTAATGAAAATTAAATAGTTTATTTTTAGAATTTTTATTTATGATAAAATCTATATAGAAAGTTAGTAATAAATTGAAAATATTGAAATTTACTACTAAAATAAGCGAAAATCAAGAACTTTTCTTTTGATTTAGATTCAATCTTATAAATAATAATATTTCTATATTTCAGAATCAAAAGAATTATAAAATTCTGAGTATTCATTATATAATTAAACTATATTTAAGATTATGATTAATTTTAATGATTTTAAACATTTTATTTTTATTTATATAAATAGGGCAAAATGACCATTTTTGGTGTGATTTTTGAAACCGACGAACAGCTGTGCACGGTTACTGTAGCTTTTTGTGCCGCACAGCAATAATTCATGTTCACTGCTATTTGCAATTTAGAAATTCATGGTCCATCATACAAGTCTTATTAACGAATCACCTTTTTATCAATTCAGACCTGACTGAAAATTCAGACATGGTCATGCCCAACAGTTTCGATGATCCTAAAAGGTGGGAAAGAACTAAGTAGATACGCTCTTGAGACAAAGAAACGAGTAAATCCTATCCTAGTGACAGAACTCCAAGATTGACATGTTCTCGTTCTCCTCTTGCAACCGGATCTGGATTAGATCATACATTCTCTTATCTTGCGGGTCAATACAAGCACAAAATATCTTCTGGAGCACATTTACCACCGGAATACACGTGCAACCCCTTAAACCAAAGCAATATAATTGAGCAAGATGCCATTCACTATACTTCCACATTGCCTACCCTTGAAGCTACTCTCTATTCGTAGAATCAGCATATGAAGTTTCCTCGTAGAGGGTTGTAGCAATTTTCTTTCTAGCCCTCCTTAAGAAGGAAGAGATGTTCCATATATTTGCGTCAATCAAAGTTATGGACTTGAA